ATTTTCGCCCGATTTCATGTATTTGCTTCAATGAAATTTGAAATGTGTGACGGGATTTGATCAGAAAATAAATTTGCCCAATTATATTGAAATCGGTTGAGGTTTGGGTACATCTCCCATATATATTTTTCGGCCGATCTCATGATTGTTATGTACCAAACACCATATGTATGTCCTATTCCAATGAAATTCTGAATGTGTGGCGGAATTTGGATACAATAATAAATTTGACAAATTAATTAGAAATCGGGTAAAATTTGGATATAGCTCCCATATATATTCTTGTCCGATTTCACATATTTGATGTACCAAACACGGTATGTACCTCCAATTGCAATGAAATATGGAAGGTGTGACGGAATTTGGTTTAAATGTAAATTTTGTCAAATTATATTGAAATCGTTTCAGATTGGGATATGATTTTATTAAGAAGTATTGACCCACAACGCAGTAAACAAGTAAAGAAAGCTGTAAGTTAAGCCGGACCTGCACAGACAATCTTCTGTCATAGGCTGTAGTATGCATTACGAACTTCAAATACCAAATTTGAACCAATTCTAGCGGATAATGTCTCTAAAATTATTAAAGTACCGAATATCGGGAGGTACCGATGTCTTGCAGACATAATATACATCTGAGTAAAATTTTATCAACCTACTTTATTTCGTTCGGAAGCTAGAGTGATTTCCACAGACGGACGGACATAGCTAAATCGACATATAATTTTATGCTGATCAAGAATACATATACTTTGTGGGGTCTAAAATGTACATTTCGAGGTGTTACAAACGGAATGACAAACTTAATATACCCTCCATACTATGGTGGAGAGTATAAAAACTACACAAGGGTTATTACTGGAAAGTATGTTGCTACCTCGAACTCTCTAATTGCAACAGAAATGCCTTTCAACTTCAAAAGATTGCAGTTTTCGGCACGCTTGGCATTTGCTATGAAATTAATAAATCCGAAGGACAATCCCTTCGTGTATGCGGACTTAATTTAGCATGTTCCTGCTTTCTCATGGTCAGCTGTTCCTGGCATGTTCACGCGTTGTAAGACCGAGCTATTTGTTTGTTTACGCATTAAAGTATTACAATAATAATGTTTTTAGAATTTTTTAATTTGTTTTATTTATATTTTTTAACCAACAAATATTCATACATAAAATTTAGAATGCATATGAAAGCGAAAGGAGTAGCGAAGCGCGACGGGTTCAGCTAGTATATATATAAAAGAGTAGTGAAATAACTGACTGGTTAAGAATCTTGAAATTTCGCTCGAAGGTGGGTCTTGGTGCACAGGCGTGTGGTAAGGATGGGGCTTTGGAAATTCGTAGCTTTGACATACAGGGTGAGATGAAAAAACTTCAACAAACTTCAGACTGCTGTCATTTCTAAGCCACTGGTCCGACAGCTATTAGTGACAGCTCATTATACTGTTTACAAGCGTACAAAAGCATTTTGGTGAGAGTTTTCCAGAAAAAAGTTATTCGTAATGGAATTCAAGCGTGATAGTGCGATTTCTTTATATTTGGCTGGAAAGCAACAAGTGGCTATCTTTAGAGCACTTCAGCATTTAAATGTGAATACAGCTTTTATGTCTCGTACCATCGCTCGTTACCGTGATGCTGGTAGCGTAGCCCGACGGAAGAAAACGGCAACATCAGCAGAAATGGTTCGAAAAGTAAAGAAGCGATTTGATCAAAACCCGCGTAGTAGTGGCCGAAAAATGGCTCGTGAGCTGAACATATCGCAATATTCCATTCGACAAATATTGAATAACTAGCTCGGGGTAAAACAATTGAAATTCCAAAAAGTGCCAGAAATTACACAGCAACAGAAAAAACAGACTCAAAAGAGCTAAAGAGTTGCTTCGCTTTACCGAAAATGGTGAACTGCAGAATTTGGTGTTCTGCGATGAGAAAACATTCGTTGTCCAGCAGTTTGTAAACATACAAAATGATCGTGTTTAATTGCCAATGAGGTCAGCTAAAAATGTGCACCTCAGGTTGACCACCAGAACTCAATCGCCGGCCATGATGATGGTGTGGGCCATCATAACAGCCGATGGTCGCTCTCCGCTCGTATTAATCGACCGTGGCATCAGAATAAATGGCGAATATTATCGCGAAAATATTCTGGAGGGTACATTAAAGCCTCGGGCACGCAAACATTTTATCCGCAGACCAGGACTCAGCACGCGCCACCCAAGAATTGTTACAAGATGAGGTTTCTACGCACAATGGCCAACAAAATCTCCTGATACCAATCCGTTGGACTATTGTGTCTGGAGTATTTTGGAAAGCAAGGTTGGCACTAAAATTACCAAAGTGTCGATCACCTCAAGCAAGCAAGTTTCACCGGGAATGGGCCATAATATCGCAGAGCAGCGTGTGACGGTTTCATTTTCCGTTCGTGCCAAAGCTGACCAATTCGAACAAATCTAAAATTATTCTAAAATTTGATGCTATTTCCAACATTTTTTTTATTCAATAAAATTTAAAAAATATGTAAAAATTATGGCGGTTGACTTTGTTGCAGTTTGTTTTTATCTCATCCTGTACATAATTGGATTTTTAAAAATCATTTTAAATATCAAGATTCGTTCGATTGTTAGGCGCAATAATGAATGTATGAATTTTGAATCTCCACTCGAATAATTCAAAATACTATGAGAATTGAAGTGTGTTTATGACTTTTGTAGTACTAGCCGATATTGCACTAGTAAGCAAAAACTATTAACAAGTTGAACCGGCCATGTGATCAAAGTACCTTCTCTAATATGAAATGCAGTAGCAAATGTAGTAGCTACCGTGTTAGCGAAATAATATAATTCTAATGCAAAAACTCAACGCCAAAGTGCACAGTATCCGCTCTTTTCCTACACTGTATACCAAATTTAGTAACATTAAGTAATTATCATTATCAATTATTAACAATTCCCCTTTGTTGCATCTAGCGAACCTCTTATCAAATTGCAGAATTCAAACTCCCTCCGTTTTTTCCAATATAATGAATTTCCAAATTTAGCCTTGAATTGTTCGAAATTATAATTATTATATTATTATACCCTACAATATTGGCTCAAAAATGTTTACATTTTCGTAATATTTTTACACCACACAACACTTGAGTCGCCATTATCGTACGATCCTCACGGCAGTTTTCATGGGGATTGGGCTAGGGCCCGAACAGAAGCCTATTGTTTTTGAAGATGTTGGAAAAATATTTAGAGGTTGAAATGGACCAAAAAAAATCCTGATTTTGATTGCCATATTACAGGTCACAATTAAGGATCAATCGACGTGTTATTTCGCATGAGATTAGTATTTAGGACAAGGCAGAATCCAAGCGTTTTGAATGGTCATCTGTTAATATTAAGCAGGTAAAGTAGACCACAACTTTTGTGTGGAAATTTTTGAATACCTATCACTACGACAGAGGGTCTCCGGTCAAAAACCAAAGGTATTTGCGGACCAAAATATATTTGTACTTAAGGGTCTTTCCAATATAGAAAATGTAGTGTTGTAGGGTATCATGGTCGTTTGATCTATTCCTAATGAGTGTATATGAAACCAATGATTTTATACCCTCCACCATACTCTTCATTGTATATTAAATTTGTCAATCGGGGACCCCAAAAAGAATATAATTATTTCAGTTCAGAATTAAATTATAAAGTCGTTTGTCTGCCTATCCGTACATCTGCTTGTCACTTGAAATCACGGTAGAGTCCACATTATTTAATCTAGAGCTTTGAAATTTGACACAAATGTTTATATTATGTGTAGGCTGATAGGTATTGAAAAAGGGCTATTTTGCTCCACGCTTAGGTAAGGCCCATGTAACGGTACTGTCAGATTTGAGGTATTTAGAACGTTCCTGCCACAATTTCCAACTAAATCAGCTTAAACTTTACATTTGGGATTCTCGGTACGTCCGTTCTCTCTGTGCAAAACAAAAAATCTCTACAGCTCTACTAATTGGTATAGCTCCCATATAACGGTGGTGGTCTACACAAACTAGCTGCAGATTGTGAATGACATATAATGGCAATTTTTCTAGTGAACCATATGTTTCTGTTTTCATCCTAAACCAATCTCTTCTGTCCTTATTGCCAATAGTTTGTTATCCTGGCTTGTGGCATTTCCCTTCTTTCGTAGATTGAAGACGCAGAGACAGCTATACCTTAATCATTTGCAAAACAAGAAAATGTACATCTTCTTCGCATCTTGTACACATTATACTGCAGTCTCTTACATGCTAGTATTATGGAGTGTAATTGCGAAATGAAGTACTTCATTAGCAGGGTTTTAAGAATCATTTTAGTACAAAAGGTTTTTACAATCTTTATGAGAAATTTTCGTAAAGCATCAATTTTTTTCAGATGTTTCTTCGTTGGTTATAGTTAAGAAATCGAAAGCATTAGTTTACAAATAAGCATAGAGCCAGATTGTCGAACGTGAAGCATGCAATACAAAAATGCATAAACTTAATTTGTACGCTCTTCAATTCATTACCAATGGAATGGGAGGCTATTATGGAGAGAATCTATTCCCATATATGTATATAACAGTAAATCAGTCTATGTAATCGGAAAATATATACGAGTACTTTTTATTTTCTATTTATCTTCTTCACTTTGAATGTATTGCAATATGTTGTATGTTATTCCGAATCCTTTCTTTTTCATAAAGTTTTAATTGTTTCCCCATTATTGTTTTCGTAACCAGTGGGGAAAGAAAAAAGTACTTAATTTGATTTGAGAAAATCGCCATACTGACAACCCCATCATTTAGCTCGTCTTCAATGTTGGGTCTGTGTGTTTTCTGTTTTTTTTTTCTTTTTCTGTTTTCTATGGCGGCGCTTGTTCTAGTGTTGAATTTTATTCAGCTGTTGTCCGTGATGAGTTTTCCTTTTGGCTCTGATGTCGTTCGTTTGGTTGCCTCTGAAAATCGATACGCTGAGAATTATATCTGTAAGTATGAAGGTATGTACCAGCAGTAGAGAAACCAGAAGCAGCGACCGCAGCTACAACAATTCGATGTCAGTGGTAATATATAGCACTTATGGTATCCAATCAGAAAATAAATATATACATTTATTTATTTTTGTAGAATCATTTTATAATAATTTGTTTTATATCTATTAACATTATATCCTTTTTCTTTGTTTTTTTTTTTCTATTCTTTTATTTTTTATATTGCATCACCAAAGTGGCACTGCTATGAAAATTCTATGGAATTTTCTTTTTTTCTGAATGAGAGACACTTACTTTTGGTTACACTTTAATACACACACACAGAGACATGCACACACATTTTTCCTTTTCACAGACATATTTGGTAATTATTCTTCTTCCATGGAAAAGTGAAAAATTTTGCACTGGACAATTTTGTCGTTGCTTTTTTCAATTTGGTCACTAAACACGTCCATATAGAAATGTGCGAAGGGACAAACCCGATTTTCCTTTTTTTAACAATTCAGATCCTTTTTTTTCTATTAACTTTTCTATATATTCTTTTTTGTGAAATCTTTAATGCAATTAAAACGTATTCGTTACTAAGGAGAGACGAGTGTTTTGTAAGACAAATGAGTTAAAACTGATTTTGCTGGTACAACGGATAAGGGTAACTGCGAGTAAAACAGGCGCACACACGTACGGACAAACGCCCATAGTTAAAAGCTCAGCAATTGTCATTTTCTCTATCTCTTCCTGCATGTAGAGGATTTTACGTCAAAACTTCGTTACCGCTGGGTTGAGTTTGCGCCCTAGCCCATGTTGGACCAATAAATATTTCATGTTCACCCTGTTCTCTCACGAATTTCGGGAAATTCAACACGGACTTGAATGAATTCAAAATATAAACAATTGGCAACCAACAGTATCTTGGAGAGCAACATTAATATTGGATGTCCTTTTGAGGGGTTGTCCTTCATTGTAACCCCCGGAAACAGTGGACAAGAAAATGTTGCATAGTACCTGAGAGCACACTGATGGGCTAGTGCTGACGAGGCGAAATGACAACGTGAACAGTGACGTCATGTTCCGGTTATTCCAACATAACCCCCAACAAGAAACACAATCAAACACAAATTCCAACTGTCACATAAGGGTTGTTTTACTTCATTCGCCAAGATTAGTGGTGAGAATGAGTGGTGAATTTTCTGCATAAATGCCTTAAGGTATGCTAAGGATTTTGCAAATAAACATTTTTGATGTCTAGCATTAAATACAGATGGCGCTGAAGTAATAATTAAAAATATTCGAATCGATGACAGTTTGTTTTTCGCACAGAAATCGCAATGTTTATTCATTATAGAACAGTGGTTGCGTTTATTAATCATGATATATTCCTAATAAAACTTTGTGTGTTTTGTTTAAAAAAAAAACTCTTTCAAAATGAACACACAGTTGCTGATAGGCGATAAAATAAACAATACTTCTTTTTTTTTTAATTTGCCATACCTAATTTTTATAATCTATAATAAATGGCGAAATCGGTGAGCATTGTAGAATATAGGTAATTATCATTTTTCGATAAATAATAGCTAAAATATAATTAAAGAGGGACGTTCTAGGATGAGTAGAGACGTTATTTTGTGACAATCGTATTGTATATCATACTAGCTGAAACCGGCATGCTTCGCTATTGCGTTCGCTTTTATATGCATTCAAAATTTTATATTCAAATTTGTATAGAACAAGTAAAAAAGCAGCTAACAGCATTTGGAAGGAACTTGAAAAATTTCAAAAAACTTCCGGAAACTACCACTTAAAAGACTGTTATATGGAGACTATACGAAGACGTGGACCTGCTTACGAAATTTTTTGTCATAGGCTGCAGTACCCATTACGAACTTCAAATACCAAATTTTAAACAATTCCGACAAATAATGTCGCTAAAATCATAAAAATTCCGAATATCGGGATGTACCGTTATATGGGGGATATACGAAAACGTGGACCTGCATACAAAAATTTTTTCCATAGGTTGTAGTTCCCATTAGGATCTTCCAATACGAAATTCCGGTAAAAACTGTCGCTAAAATCATGAATATACCGAATATCAGGAGGTACCGTTATGTGGAAGCTATACGAAAACGTGGACCGACATGCCCCATTTACGAACTTAACCTGCCTGCTGGTAAACTATGCATGTATGCAAACGGTTGTCCTTCTAAATTAGTTCGAAAGATAGCGTGATTACAACAGACAGACGGACATCGCTAGATCGTCTTAGAATTTTTCGCTGATCCAGAATGTAGTTTGTAGGGTCTATTATAAATATTTCGAGAAGTGAATTAATTTTTTGTGTACTTTTTTATGCCCTCCACCAAAAAAAGTATGGAGGGTATATTAAGTTCGTCATTCCGTTTGTAACTCATCGAAATAATCATTTTAGACCCAACAAAGTATATATATTCTTGATCAGCGTAAAATTCTAAGACGATTTAGCCCTGTCCGTCCGTCTGTTGTAATCGCGCTACAGTCTAAACGAATTAAGATAGGAAGCTAAAATTTTGCACAGATCTCTCTTTTGTCTGCAGGCAGGTCAAGTTCGAAGATGGGCTATATCGGCCCACGATATCGTATAGCCCCCATATAACGGTACCCCCGATATTCTGTATTTTGATGATGTTAGCCACATTTTTCAATGGAATTGTCTGAAAATCCACACAAGTAGTTCCTTGTGGGTACTTTATACCTCGGCAGAGAATTATCTATATAGGTTCACAATATCGTATAGCCCCCATATAACGGTACCCCCCGATATTCAGTATTTTGATGATTTTAGCCACATTTTTCAATGGAATTGTCTGAAATTCCACAAAATGAGTCCCATGTGGGCATTTTAAGCCCTCAAAAAGAATTGTCTATATAGGTCCACGATATCGTATATCCCCCATATAACTGTACCCCCGATATTCGGTATTTTGATGATGTTAGCCACACTTTTCAATGGAATTGTCTTAAAATGTATCGATATCGTACATCCCCCATATAACGGTACCCCCGATATTCGGTATTTTGATGATTTTACCCACATTTTTCAACGGAATTGTCTGAAAATCCACATAAGGAGTTCCTTGTGGATACTTTATACCTCGGCAGAGAATTATTTATATAGGTCCACAATATCGTATAGCCCCCATGTAATGGTACCCCCGATATTAGGTATTTTGATGATTTTAGCCACATTTTTCAATGGAATTGTCTGAAATTCCACAAAAGGAGTCCCTTGTGGGCATTTACCTCCCCAAAAAGAATTGTCTATAGAGGTCCACGATATCGTATATCCCCCATATAACTGTAACCCCTGATATTCGGTATTTTGATGATGTTAGCCACGCTTTTCAATGGAATTGTCTTAAAATCAACACAAGTAGTTCCTTGTGAGTACTTCACCCCCTGAGAGAGAATTGTCTATACAGGTCCACGATATCGTATATCCCCCATATAACGGTACCTCCCGATATTCGGTATTTTATGATTTGCCCCACATTTTTCATCGGAATTGTCTGAAAATCCACACAAGGAGTTCCTTGTGGGTACTTTATACCTCGGCAGAGAATTATCTATATAGATCCACGATATCGTATAGCCCGCATATAACGGTACCCCCGATATTCGGTATTTTGATGTTTTTAACCATATTTTTCAACGGAATGGGGTTCTTTGTACACAAGGGGTTCTTTGTGAGCACTTTACCCCCCGACAGAGAATTCTGTATATAGGTTAACGATAACATATAGCTCCCATATAGCGGTACCCCGCGATATTCGGTATTTTGATGATTTTAGCCACATTTTCCAATCGTATTGTCTGAAAATCTACACACGGAGTTCTTTGTGAACACTTTACCCCTGAAACGGAATTGTCTATATAGGTCCACAATATCGTATATCCCCCGTATAACGGTACTCCCCTATATTCGATATTTTGATGATTTTAGCCACTTTTCCAATGGAATTATCTGAAAATCCATACAAGGAGTTCCTTGTGAGTACTTTACACGCAGACATAGATTTGTCTTTATAGGTCCACAATATCGTATATCCCCCATATATCGGCACCTTCCTATATTAGATATTTTAAAGATTTTAAAAGAATTTTTATTGGATTTTATTTTTTTGAAAATTTTCTAATTCGTTCCAAATGGTGGAGGGTATTCAAAGTTCGGCCCAGCCGAACTTACTGCTTTTTTACTTGTTACTGTTAGAAATTTAGAACAAATTCCGTCACACATTCCAAACTTCATTAAAAATATAGCTTCTTTGGTTCATCAAATACACCAAATCGGCCAAAAAATGTATATAAGAACTATATCCAAATCTAAACCGATATCAATATAATTTGACAAATTTATTTGTAGACCAAATTGCGTCACACATTCCAGATTTAATTGAAATTGGAGATATATACCGTGTTTGGTGCATCAAATATACCAAATCGGCCAAAAATCATATTGGAACTATATCCAACTCTGATCCAATTTCAATATAATTTGGCAAATTTATTTTCTGATCAAATCCCGTCACTAATTCCAAATATCATTGAAATCGGACATACATATCGTGTTTGGTGCATCAAATACGACGATTTAGCCCTGTTCGTTCGTCCGTCTGTTGTAATCTTTTGTCTGCAGGCATGTCAAATTAGAAGATGGACTACATCGCATAGCCCCCAAGCAACGTCAAATTTCGTATTTATAATTCTTAATAGGTACTACAGCCTATAACAAAAAATTGCGTTTGCAGGCCTAGGTCTTCCTCCATATAGCCTCCATATAATGGTGCCTCCCACTATTCGGAATTTTGATGACTTTAGCGACATTATTCACCGGAGTTGTTTCAAATTTCGTATTTAGAGATCGTAATGGGAACTGCACTCCAAGTTTAAAAATTTTCTATGCAGGTCCAGGTCTTCGTATAGGCAACATATATCAGTACCTCCCTATATTCGGTATATTAATGATTTTAGCTACATTATTCACCGTATTTTCTTTTTCAAATTTCCCTTTTAAATATTGTAATGGCTTATGACAAAAGTTGCCTATGCAGGTCCACATCTTTGTAAAGACTTATATTGGGATCGGCTATATTCGGTATTTTTAAGATTTTAACAAAATGTTTAGCGGATGTCATCTTTTTGAAAAATTTTCAAATTCGAATCAAATGGTGGAGGGTATTCAAATTTCGAATAAGAAATGAGAAATAAAAAAGTGTGTTCCTATATGGAAAACATTGTAAATATTGCAAACAAAAATTTCAAAATTATCAATATGGCAAAATTTGAAGATTCTTGCTTGTTAGGGAACTTTATTCATTACGTGATTTATATTTTAACAGGGTGTATACAAACACAGATTTTCTAAGCTATGCGAGTTTTCTTTAAAGAGAAATCCAAATTTTAAGAAACTCATCTTTCTGTTGCTTTTCATTTCCGGTTACCCGAACTGTTTGAGGGTTCTTGCCAAAACATAACGCAAATATGATGATCTTGGTACGAAAGTCAATTTTTCTTCTTCCTATATCAGACGGGGTCGCCTTTATTATACCTTGATGATTGAAATCGGGTATAGCATATTTGTGGGTGCTATAGCTGTATGTAAACTGATTTTCTACAAATTTAGCATATTTGATTTTACGATAAATTCGGTGTTAGTACTGAAATCCATCAACTTTTTTCTAATGTAACACATTTTTGCATCACAAACCTGAAATCGGATGACCCGTTCTGAATAAATGTGGGCATAGATATTTCTAAACGGGTTTTGACATTTTGTACCGAAAACCAGTCCTGTGGAGTACACATTAAAGCTATACGGGATTTAGATATGAAATCGGATGAAACACATATAATAAGAGCTATAACGTTATCTGAATCGATTTTCACCAAACTTGACATGCTTGCTTTTATATGCTAGAATTCCTCATATTTCTGTCTCTCCCTGGCTTGTCGGCAAAACACTTACAGGGTGAGATGAAAAAACTGCAACCAAATGTGACAACAGTGACTCGTTTTAAGTGTTTCGTTTTTACTTACAAGTCAGCATAATGCATAAATCGTTTGAACATGTCTTCTTTGTTGCAGAAAATT